TCCTGCTCTTCTTCATTTGGCTTTTACCTTGCATTTTCTCTTATCCGAAAAACGACACAGACTAATAATGATCTATGGAGCTGTCCTTCGTCGTCCAGGTGTGTGCTAGAAGTATATGGGATACAGGTGCATTTGAACAATCTATGGGCTATGCTGCACCCTTGCACCCCTTTTGGGGGTGGAAATTTGGGAGACGGACTCATCTCCGCCGTATACTAGCAGCAGGATAGATCTAATTCAAGGGTCTGACGATCTAGTTATCTAATCGGCTCAATGGCCCGTACTCTCTGCATTTTACTATATCCAACATAGAAGTTGAAATTTTCCTATACTAGGAAACGGTGCTTTGAGGTGCAAACAATAATCTGTCAACATCATTAGCAACCGATATCCGATCCTACGGGTCAACCTGGCCTCCTTGTGAGTGGGCTCTGTAAAGTCTTTCAGAAGGCTGAACACCTTTTAAACCAGGAGTTCTTTCGCATAAGATGTGGCCGGTTCGCTTGGAAAATGGCAACCACACACCATAGATAATTCTACAGCAGGTATAGACGGTTTTCAGTAATGTAATAAATCTATCAATAGCTAAATATATCCGACTATCAGAGGAAGCAAAGCGGCCATAGCAATCCTAGAACAAAAATGAGAAGAAAAACTTAAGAAATGACAAATTCTGCAGGTAAATGACTAATAAAACAAATAAGAAAACAGAAGAAGCTCTTTTCATTTTTCAATCGTTTCAAAGAACAAACAAGAATTGCGGCAGGAAAGCAACGAGAGGAGTAAATCAAAATCGATCTCATACCTCACTTTTTCACTGGAAAAAAATTAAAAAAAAAAAAAATTCAAAATTAACTTGAAACTGAAAACAAAGAAATTGAATACAGAATTAAGCGCTAAGCTTCATATACCTATTGCTGTGTTTAGTTGTGATAGATGATGGAGAAAACAAAAATAACATTCCAACCTCTAGAAAATAGACAGAATAAAAAAACAAGAGTATACCAATTCAAGAAACTCGCTCAAAATGTAGTGAAAAATAAATCATAGAAGACACATCATTAATCTGATTAGGCAGTATGTTAAAAGAGCAAAAAGTGAAGAAAACTCTCGTGAATGATGGATTAGAGATGTAATTTTTCACAGTTGTCCGGAAAGGACGGCTTCGGTTGCTATTGAAAATTCGAAGATGGTTAGAGACAGAGGAATTGTAGTAGAACACATAACAATTTCATATTTTAGG